TCTAGTAACATCTATGTAACCCTTAAGAGGCTTTACATGACTGTGCAATGGGGAGCAGAGGCAGAATTTGCCCTGTCGGCTTTAATTAATTCAGCTGTTTAAGGGTTCACTCCTACAAAGTGCCAAGTGCCCACAACTCTCAGTGAAAGGTGTGGGTGATCAGTACCTTGCAGGGCCCTAATAATGCAAACTGGAAGGAGAATTGATAAACCAAAGTCAAACCAAGTAATGTCATTGACAGACAAGCTGGCCAACATGTCTTTAAAAGCTACTCTAGCTAATGGATGACACTTTGTACATTTTCTGTGGTAGTGGGAATCAAAAAGCCACAGGCTTGTGGAAAACTTCTTAAGTGGAAGAAGTGATATGGCCTAAAGTAGTGTGCGTTTGTTTTGTTTATTTGTTTTTGGTGCGAGGAGGTTAAGGTAAAAGGGAAGATTATTGAGCTTGTTCTTTAGCTGGAGATATTAATCTATTAACTTTTGTCTGTAGTTAGAATTCACTATTTACTGTGAACTAATTCATGTAGTTATGTAATTGCACTAAAACTTTGAGGGTTGGCACCAGCAGTGCCTCTAATTCACCTTTAATCAATTTTTTCATTCTTTTTAAGCCATTTTTAAAAGCAAGCCTAGAGAGCTCACTTCGGGTGCCAGACTAAGAGCTTTGGAGACTGAAGTCCTCTAGCCTCAGAACATGTACAGACAGCACAGGCAGTAGCAATGCAAGGTCCTACACGGCTGCATTAATATGTCTCCACACTGTACTGGAGGGCCCACTCCTGGGATGAAAGATTTTGGACACTATTGAAGCTGCCAACAAGGGGAGAAGTGTGCTGGTGATTTTCATGATGTGGACTCTTATCCACTAGGAAATGGCAGTGGAGCCCACCCATTTATTTCTGTTATCAGATGGTCACTATTGATCTGGGCTGGATTTAAACCAATTGCTTAGAAGAAGATGGATACATAGTTCATTTCCAGTCCCCTAAAATATCCAGCTGCCATTGGCACTTCCACACATGCCACCAATCTCTCCATTTGTACAGTAATAGTGCTGAACTGTTTCTAGATGGAACATTTGAGAGCTGAAATCTCAAAATACTGACATGCACATCTTACCAAGTAAGTGAGTCCATGAATGAAGGCCTGCCTTTCTGAAATATAGGACCAGATTCTCGGCTGATATAAATCAATGTAGCTCCTTTGACTTTAGAGGAGCTATGCTGGTTTATACCAGCTGAGGATCTGGCCCACAGTTATCTGCTAACTCTGCAGCCATAAACTTTGACTTCTGTTTTCACTAGCTGGAAGTGAGGAAGTTTGCTAATTGGTTAAATATATATCCATGCTATAGTTTATACAGAGATAACATATTACCTATATTAAAACAAGCTAAACCCCAGTAAAATACAGTTCAGTGTCACTTGAATGGCTGTTTTACTGCAACTTTAATAAAAATCAATGCTACTTTAATAGGTGCATCCAAACATACTGCCAGAGATTTCCAATTATGATATTCCCAGCAGCAAATAAAAACAAAATTAATGTCAGCTGTATCCCCAAAAGCCTAAACTATATTACTAATGAACTTTCAAAGAAAACTCTATGCAAAGACAATAAGGTGCAAATCACTATAGTAATCTAAATGTAGAAATACAGAAAAACATCATCGAAATGCAGAGTAGGATTTGCCTCTCATGCTTCCATTAACCATCTTGTTAGCTTAGTGTCTGCATACATAGTGGTATTGTAACATACTCCTTCTAAAACCTTGAATGCGCCCACACAAATTCATATTTTTCATTTGTATTTTAAACAAAGGTAGGATTTGAACCAGGGCTCGTACTTCATTAAGAGAAAATACATAGTTTCTGCTAGTGTCACATTAAGTATCTCCTTCCCAGTAATTTGTCTTTCTAGTAGATGTACTCAGTTGCATAACAATTTGCAGTCTTGACTCAAATACAATCTTCTTGACATTGAGTTATAGCTTTAATGATTAAAACAGCTGTCTTTCCTATGGCAGAAGTAAGTTCTAAGACACTTGAATATTTAAATACTACCATCATCTTTATATGTGTATAGAGTTAATTGATTTTTTTGTAGTTTGAAATTAATGAAGTGTTTTTCACATACTGCTATAAGCTGTGTTCTGTTAGAAAGTTGCCCAATTCACCTTAGAGTTGGTTACAAGTCAGTTGACAGCAAAATCATTGTTATAATGTATACAATCTATAAAATCCACTATAAACATTTATAAAGTACCTTCTGGATGAAAAGTGCATTAAATGTAAGATTATTATAATCCATTTTCAATATGTTCTTCAGGAAAGTTGTCTTTCATCACCATTCAGACTGTAAGAATTAAATTACCTAATCCATTTTAAGACTGTCTGTCTGTTTTATAATGAAGATTTTGTTGCTTTGCCCGTTATGAACCCTATACATGATGACAAAACTCACACAGCCATTCTGTTACATATTAGACTCTCCGGTTATTACATATACTTTTTCACCATTTTTACAACATTGATGTTGCAGTGTCCTCTTGAGGTATAGCTTTATATCCTACCTTTAACGCTAGCTGTCTAGGAGCTTTATCCAAAATGCACTGAAGTCAGAGGGAAAGCCTCTGATTGATATCAATGGATTTTGGACAAGAGCATAGGTGCTCAGATACCAAAGCATAAGTACAGTATAAATATCTAGCTAGACAGATAATCTCTGCTTCTTTCTGGAAATACCGATGATAGCCTCCATTTTGAAATGTTTCTGTTGTCATGAGAGAGGAAACTAATACTTTTTACTATATATTTTTTTATATTCAGTAATACTGAGCAGATGTATTTTCTTATAAATGTGGAACTCCCCTCTTTACTCCAAGGATTGGGGCAGTCAGGTTCTCTGGATTTTGCCAGCTAATCTCTTGTGTGTTCTCTAACATTTATAGCCAGCTATACCAACTGATCAGGTGAAGTCAGTATGTGGTTTTATGCAATACTAGTACCGTATATACTCAGTCATAAGCCAGTTCGTTTATAAGCTGACCCCTCCCCCCCCCCCAAGATGTATAAGTAAAAATGGAAAAATGTTATGACACATTCATAAATCGACCCTATAATTCAGGGGTCAGCAAACTTTGGTTCCCGGGCCATGAGGATAAGCCGCTGGTGGGCCAAGATGGTTTGTTTACCTCGAGCGTCTGCAGGCACGGAGGTAAACCTAAGTAAACAAAGTGTGCCAGCTGCTTACCCTGATGGGCCGGGACAGCAACTGGTGGGGAAATTTTTTGGGGAGGAGAAGTTGGGGGTCAGGGGAGTAACCCCTGTAACCATCCCCCACATGACCCCACCCCTAGCCCGGGACCCCCACACTCTCCCCTTCCCATCCCTTCCCACCTTATCTGGGAAGCATGTCTCTGGCCTGGCTGGAGCTGCTCCGGCAGGCTGGGCAGTGCGACCGCAGCCTGCTCCGGCAGGCCAGACCAGGCGGCGCAGCCGCAGCATGTTCCAGCAGGCTGGGCCACGTGCTTCAGCATCTGGGCGGCACAGCCACAGCCTGCTCTGGGAGGTGGGGCCAAGCGGCACGGCTTCGGAGGCTGGGGGAAGAGCAGCGTGGCCAGAAGCGGAGAGACTCTGGCCCCGCCTCTTCCCTTCTGCCTGTGCTGCCTCTCCTTGCGCCCTCTGTTGGGGGGAGGGGTTGTGTCCCACCTCTCCCTCTCTATACCCGTTCATAAGCCGACCCCCTTCTCTGGTGCTTCCCTTTTTTACTAAAAAAATTTGGCTTATGAACAAGTATATACGGTAATTTGCTGGTGACCCCATCAGTTTCTCCAGAGTTTAAGCTTCCATTTTAACACAAACAAAACAAAAAAAATAATTTTCTAGCACTTATAGTTGCTGATATAAACTTCTGAATGTCTGATTAAGGCTTAATATAAACAGAAACAATGGGTCTGCTTCTCACTTGCACTATGACCCTTTTACACCACTCTGGCAATATAAAGTGGCTTTAAGGTAGATATTTAAGGTCCTTTTATACTGCCAGAATAGTGTAAAGAGGCCTTAGTGCAGATGAGAATCAGACCTGATAGGTTTAGAGCAAAAATGAACTGCCCCTATTCATCTCTATGGGTGTTAACTCTGAAGTTTATTGATCCAAATTAAAATGTCAATATTGACTATTTCACTACTGTTTATTTTATCAGAAACATTCTGGGATTGTGGGCACAGCTTGAGTAGAATACCACCACTTTTCCCTTGCATTCTGCTATACCAATTTCCTTGGTGCACTTAGCAGAAGTAATTAACAGAATAAGGATGCTCATTATTCTCCAAATGAATATAAAACAATTTAATAATTAATTTTCAATAATTATTATATATCCAGTATCCTCGTACTAGGCCTTTGATATGTAGCTCAGATTACTGCAAGACAGAGCTAGACACACATACAGGAATACGGACAGGGTGAAGAGAGAAATCTATGTTTGTATATCAGTCTCTGTTGATAGGCTCCTTCAGTGTTCTTTCCTTGCAGTTAGATTTACAACACCCTCAATACCTTTCAAAATACAAACAATGATTGTTCACTTTAAAGTGATCTCTGCACTGGCAATTGTTTCTAAATGGAAAAAGTCAGAAAATGTTGTTCCACAAGGTTCTTTGAAATCAGACATCTCAGTTCAATTCTAGAGTAATTGTAATATCTTTCTGGTGGAGCTGCTCAGAAAATTTTGATGAAAAATGAAAACAATTTTCTATGCAATATCTTTCCCCATTTTCCAGCTTCTTTCTTGTGGGTAGCCATTTAATGGATTTCAGATGTTTTGCTTCTAAATAATTGATCAACTCTTCTGACTATAGCAGGTGACAAAGGCTAGACCTATGGTTCAGTACAAGGAAAGATGGAATGTTATTTGACATGACTGAGCTAAGTTGTTTGTAAACTTTATCTCCCCATTTATCTTAATTATTTGATCTTTTTCCCCCTTCCCAGGATTTCCTCACATGTATTTTTTCCCAAGTCTCTTTGAATCCTACATAATACAAGACTGGGGTTATGAAGTCAATCCTAGATGGCCTCGCAGACACAACTTTCCGAACAATTACAACAGATCTTCTTTACATGGGTTCCAACGATATCCAGTACGAAGATATTAAAAGTGACATGGCCTCCAAACTAGGATATTACCCACAGAAATTCCCATTATCTTCCTTCAGGGGTGATCCTTTCCAAGAAAAAATGACTGCAGGAGATGATCCCCTATTAAGTATCATTCCATCGGATCAGATCAATATTACAGATTTTTACAACAAGTCCCTATCCACTTTCAAGGATAATGAGGAGAATCTACAATGTGGGGAGAACTTCATGGATATGGAGTGCTTTATGATTCTAAACCCCACCCAGCAGCTGGCCATTGCAGTGCTGTCCCTTACCCTGGGCACCTTCACCGTTCTGGAGAACCTTCTAGTGCTGTGTGTTATCCTGCACTCTCGAAGCCTCCGGTGCAGGCCTTCCTACCATTTCATTGGCAGCTTGGCAGTGGCTGACCTCCTGGGCAGTGTAATTTTCGTCTACAGTTTTGTTGATTTCCATGTTTTCCATCGGAAAGACAGTCCTAATGTGTTTCTGTTCAAGTTGGGTGGAGTTACAGCCTCATTCACTGCCTCAGTAGGCAGCCTTTTCCTTACTGCAATAGACAGGTACATATCTATACACAGGCCACTAGCTTACAAAAGAATTGTTACCAGGCCAAAGGCTGTCGTAGCATTCTGTGTGATGTGGACCATAGCTATCGTAATAGCTGTTCTTCCTCTGCTCGGCTGGAACTGCAAAAAACTCAATTCTGTTTGTTCAGACATCTTCCCTCTCATTGATGAGACCTATCTAATGTTCTGGATTGGGGTCACCACTGTACTCCTGCTGTTTATTGTATATGCCTATATGTACATATTGTGGAAAGCTCATAGTCATGCTGTTAGAATGATTCAGCGTGGCACTCAAAAAAGCATAATAATTCATACCACAGAGGATGGTAAAGTACATATTACTAGACCTGATCAAACTCGTATGGACATCAGGTTAGCCAAAACCTTGGTCCTTATTCTGGTGGTTTTAATCATATGCTGGGGCCCTCTACTTGCAATTATGGTGTATGATGTCTTTGGGAAAATGAACAAGCTCATCAAGACTGTCTTTGCATTCTGTAGCATGCTCTGTTTGATGAATTCAACAGTGAATCCCATCATCTATGCTCTAAGAAGCAAGGACTTGAGACATGCTTTTCGGAGCATGTTTCCAACCTGTGAAGGGACTACGCAGCCTCTTGATAACAGTATGGAGTCTGACTGCCAGCACAAACATGCTAACAATGCAGGTAATGTTCACAGGGCAGCTGAAAGCTGTATTAAGAGCACAGTTAAGATCGCCAAAGTGACCATGTCTGTCTCCACAGACACAACTGCAGAGGCATTGTAAATCAAAGCCCTCTCAACATTGTGAGAATAGAAGTTAGTTTAAAACAAACAAAAAATACATGACCTAAAGCTTTTGTTCCCTCACCTGTAACATTTTTAAGTTTGTCATAATAAGCTATACAATGATTGTTTTAAGAATCATTGCCATCAGCCAATCCTCCAAGTTTAATAATTAGGGATTCAAACTATTTTAAAAAAGAAAAGTTTTCAATTAAAGAAAGTGCTCATTGAATAATAAAGTATAAAACTCTGGCAGAATGTACAGAAAATGTCAAACTAGCAACAATTCCTTCAGAAGTTACTGGGGATGGAGTGGAGGGGAATCTGAAAACTTGTGAAACCTAATTGAAAACTAAAACATCATAAAGCCATGTCATCAAATAAGAAAGCCTTGTAATCATAATGTTCATTCCATTGTGAAATGTATTAAATGTCTATAAGTCATAGAAGTTTTCATTTCTTTCCAAAAAGCGGCAGTACTAAGTTTTAGAGGTTCTGTAAAATGTGTTGTGTCCTGTGAAATGTATACTGTTTTATTACTTGTTACTGATATTTGTCTAACTAAACCAAGTGATAACGTAAACTTGTGTGGAAATAATGTGAAATATGTGTTATGTAAACCCCACTGAAAATACCTTCTGTATTTGAAGAACTCCTATGAGCTATTTTGGAAATTTTACACGTTTAGTAGGCTTCTGTGGATTTAGAGGAAAGGCATTGTATTTCTTCAACTAAAATTATTTGACATTTGAAATCCCCATTAATTTTAACTTTCATCTGTGTACAAGAATAACAGCAACAAGGGAATATAGACTAGCACTGCAGAGAAAGGAATGCATTGGTTCAGACTTTTAAATACCACTGCGTTTATACATAAGGACATTTATTGCCTTACGGACTATGCCTTTCTGGTGGGCATTATGTAAATATGAACAGTAAAAAGAAAAGGTACTGGATACTGGCTTCTTTAATTGGCAACTGCTAGCACTGGACCTCTGAAAACAGCATGTGTCAGATTCAGTGTATAATGTTATCACTGTGCGTTGATATATACTTGAACTGTGCTGCATTCCTATATCCCAGGATTAAACAGATTTAAAGCCTGAGATGCCAAACTCCAGTCTTCACTAAACAAGGAGCAAGTATTGTTAAAATTAGATATTTTTTATGTTTGAGCGTGTATATAAATAAATATCTGTGTGTGTGTGTGCTCACGCGTGTGTGTACGTATACTAAGTAAACATGGGTCACAGTAGTATTACTAAGATAGGAAACTGTGACCAAATGCAAACTATTTCCTGTTGCACTCTTTGCACATGAATTCTGTTCCTAAAATTGAGTTCTTCCAGCTGACGTGATGAACATACTAATTGTAAGATTCAGAACATACTTGTAGATCCACACTGAGAGACTTATCCATGTATTAGAGAAACTAACCTTTTAGTTTTACTTGAGAACAAGGCAAAAAAACAATCAGGAGGAAAGGGCAGGAGGCAAAATATGCTGTGAACAAAAATAGACAACAGAAAATCAGTATTTACAGTGTTAAAAAAATTGAGAATGTTGGAGATAAGACTTTTTTTCCCCCAAAAAAAGTCCTTGAGTATTAAATCTATTTGCTTGAAATCAGATGTGTCTCACTGTAAAAACAGGGTATCAATGATGATAGAAACCAGAAACCATCATAATTAAGGCAAAGAAAGAGTTTTTAGATCCAAAGGTGCCATTCCATTTTATAATGGAAATTTTTAAAACCTTGGGTTTTTTTTTAGTAAAGAATGTAATTAAATCGCCTTCCTGACATGGATATTCTCTAAATCTCATTCTGAATAAGAGCCATTGAGCCTTATTCTCCACTGCCTGGTACATTAGGTTATATTCTGTCTCCTGCTCTGGCTGCTTTATGCTAAAGCAGCTTCAAAGCCAAGCTAGCCAACTAGCTATCCAAGGATTCCCCCAAGACAGGGGAATCCCTCAGTGGCATAGGGCTTGTGTAGCCAACTCGACACCACCTCTTCATGCTCTATGGGGAGTGGCTTAGGGAAAGGAAGCATGGCTGGATCACTGATGATCCATGGCTACCAGAATGACCTCTTGGGCACTGTGGTAGCTGCTCACAAGTCAGAGCAGCCAGTAGCACCAAACACCAGACAGCCCCAGGATTGGGGGGAGGGAGCAAAGGAGTGTCATATAGTCATCTTTGCTCCCCACCCTATCTAGGGTACTGTGCTGAGCAGAACTTGACTGGAGCTGAGGATCTAGCTCCATGTTTAGTCATTTACATCTGTGCTATCTGAGTCCAAATCAGAGCAGCTGCATTTTACTGCTACTGTGCACTGGTGTAAATGATTTCACAAGATACAAAGCAGTGAAGATTCAGGTCCATTGCCTAAAGACTGGTCATAGCACGGTGCTTTGTAAGAGCCCAGTCCTGCAAGGTTCTGAGTAATTCCTGACAGATACTGAGTTCCTGCCACTCATGCTTACCTGGGTGGGAGGGCAGGGTGCCTAGAACCCTGCGAGGAGGTACACTGTACCTTGTAAGAGTAGGCCCATGGGATGAGTAAAGGATGAGGTTTCTCAGAGTATTGCTCTACTGCTGGTGAAATCTAACAATGAAAGAGCTTTCTTTCCTTTCAAATATACATTGTTTTTCATGCAGCAGTCTGGGAGGAAAGAACACAGTGTCAAATGAAAAGATATTTTAAGAGCCATTTTTTGAAACTGTCTTCTTGTGAATTCAATGCAAATTTTATAGATTTGTTGTTGTTGTGGATTCAAGTTCTAAATTTTATGTGATAAATCATGGGACAATGGGGCTGTCTTGGCACTAAACTTGGTGCTTATTGATATAAGAAATCACATCCTGTGAAATATTCATATATCAAGATCTTCATTTACATATGAGTTTTTAAAAAGGTTTGTGGATTATATTTCATCTTAACATCATTTCTCAACTGAGGTGGCAAAAAAGTCCCTACAAAATGTAAACTAAATAATTATTATTTAATTAGAAAATCAATTCCTGTTCCTAGATTAGCTGAATTTAAACTTCTGCTTGAGGTAATCCTATTTTGCAATTGCCCACCTTCCTTTGGTGATGGCACAACTAACCTAAATAGCATTCCACAACCACCCCCACTCTCATAAAATGAATAACTCTGTAGTTACAGTTCAGTGTATTTATCAACTTTAAGTGTTGTATATCTATAAAAGAGACCATCTGTATCATGTGCAAAGTTAGATTCTCAACAATCTAATTGTATATTTGTATAATATTGTATCTCCTCGATGCTGTGCAATCACTGTCAACATTTTTTTGCACTGGCCTTCTGATGAAAATGTTAAGATGCCTATTGTAAGATAAGCAGAACATTTTACCTGCTGTTATTGGGCTGAATGTATGTAAATAAAGTCATCTGTACAAGCAGTGGCCTAAAAAGTCTGTAATTTTAGGATAGGACAATTATTGAAGTTGCTGTGACATCTGAAAAGCTACCTATGAATAAATTATTTACATGGCCTCTTGGGATGCAGTGTCATAGAGAAAGGAAAGTCTTTCTTTGTGACAATATGACTTAGAGAAATTGGATTACCAGAGCTTTTATTTCCAATGTTTCAAAGTGGAGCACATAACTCTTTATTGTCTGTAAATCTAACATTATTACTTCCTCTTAGAAGAATATTGTATTGTTAGATGTTTGTTTGAGCTGGTAACATCCTTGCAACTGCTGCAATATCTTTCTGTTAGCAACCTGTATGATACTTTGTACACAAGTACTGGTAAGATTGTCATTAACAGTAGCTTCGACCATTTAACTACCTATAGCAGAATAGTATTTCTGTAATATTTCCAATGTATTACTACCATGCCATATTTTATTTCTATAATGTAATTAAACTGTTATTTATTCAAAGAGAAAGTATTCCATTATGTTTGTTTTCCAAAAGTCAAAGTTACTGAGTGTATTCCAGAAGATGCCACTTCATCCCACAATCTGGGGCTGTAGATTTTATCTATAAGGGTTTTTTTTCCCTTGTCAAATGTGTAAACAACTGGTTATATCAACAGTTATCAAGTTTCATGGGTCTTCACTGTATTTGCATTTCTTTGAGGGTCGAGGGTAGATATATATATATATATATATATACTGTGATGGAGACAAAGGTGTGATGACATGGATAAGACTGAATCCCTTATGTCATTATATAGCCAAATGTTTCCCTTCCTCGAACTGCAAAAGCATAACTAAGGAACCTGGAATGCCAATATTCAGAAGACTCTCTCAAAGTGGAGTTTTTCTGGAAAGTTTGAGGGAAATCAGACACAGCATTTCCAAGAGTTATTTAAAATCCAAGGAAATTCTTATACAAGAAAATTGATTAAGATGAGGTTAAGGATGAAAATCAACTTTGATACCAACACACAACCTTTGAAATTTCACTAGCATTATCTTACGCCTGAGGCAGACTTTTTCTGAAAAGTGTGTTGCAAATCAGATGAAGGCTTTGTACTTTCTAATTAATTTTCCTATGTTTTCTTTTGAGTGTAACTTTGACTTAGAATTTCCAGCCTTACTAATGTTTGTTCTTTTCAGAAAAGAATAATTTTGTTTTAAGGATTTTCCCCCCTAAGTATTTAGTTGCCAGCCAAGCTCCAGCACAAGGAAGTTATGAAATACTATTATTAGTTTTAATTTTTTGCTTCTGTCAGAAGCTTATGTATGCATGAAGATGTAATCATATTAAGAAAGAAACTGTACCATACAATAAAGATAAACAAAAAATAAAAGGTCAGAAGAGGGGAATAAATATGTCTCATCTGCCAAGTGCATCAAAAAACAAAGCCCTGAATTAGTTACTGGTAAGTATAAAAATAATAAGAGCAGTGAGTTAAACATGATGGGTTAGACTGTCCCCAGGTTTGGCCACTATTAACTAGTACAAAGGGCCATTAGAGGAGGAAACTCTATAAAAGGAGAGGGTGTAATGGCACAAGGCTGTGGCAACCTATTTGCTGCTCAGGACTCACAGGAGCTAGTGCAACCCAAAAAGTGGCTAGTGCTTATCAGTGAAGAAGTATAGACAGGACGTTTAGAAGACATGCTGATAAAAAATATCCTGAAGCACACACTAGAAGTGGGGCTTTTTTATGGTGCTTCCAGCAAAAACTAAAACTCCTGCCCTAACACCTGATGAGGATGAAATTCCTCTTAGGGCACAAGAGAAATATTGCTGGCTGGCATAAGAAAAACGCAATTTGTGTCTCTCTGCACCATTCAGGGTGACCTAACCCACTAACTGTGGTATTCACACTGAAGTAGGGCCTAGTCTCCCACACCCTCACTCCCGTGTGTAAACTCATTAACTCCAATGGGACTATTTAAGAATGTGCAGGTTAGGAACCTACATGATGAAATATTCTCAATGGCATTTAAGTAAAATTGTAACCTTGTAAAATGGCAACAAGGAGAACTTGAAAGCTATCCCACTTGTTTAGACTAGATTTATTCACAGATGTTTTCCACTTTTCAGTTGAATACCCAAAATACCAGTGGGACCCAAGCATCTTAATGAAGTGCAGCCACAGTGGAGTGAAACTTGACTAAAGTTTGATACAAAGCCATTAATAGTACTTGGTACTAAGCACTTTTACAAAGGTGGTCAGTATGATTATCCCTATTTTACAGATGGGGAAATGTGGCGCAGAGCGTTAAAGTGACTTGTCCAAAGTCACCCAGCAAAACAGTGGCAGAACCAAGAGTAGAACCCTGATCTCCTGGTCCAGTGTCTTCTGTTAGGGGGAAATCAGTCACATTGGGAAAGTTCATGGTAGGAGCTGATATATTATTTGACCAAATAAATGGGTTCCATAGTGATAAATAAACCTCCATTTATGCTTACATCCTTTCCATTACCAGATAAGACAAGTCTTGTTTATCTAATCTAATCTCTGTTGTTTATAATTCCACAAAGGTCTGATCCAAAGAATCCCATTGACTTCAGTCACCTTAGGATTAGGTCTCTATAGGAACTGGTAGTATATCTTAGATCCAAGGAAGTTGAGCAACTTTCTCTTTCCACCTTTAAGCTTCCAAGGCTACTAAGATCTTCATATTGAGGTCACCCCTGGACTGAGCAGGGGACAGGGACTTGTTGTTGATTTGTTGTTGTTGCTTTGACAAATTATTTATATTTTAGAAAATATTAGATCATTAATCATTGAGAAATAATTGACAACATGAAAGCAAAGAAAAATTAAGATCAAAATCTGAGCATCTCAGGCAAAAACTGTCACTATCAAGACAACTAGGAAAATATTCACATTTTGTTAGCATGCCTTATAATGTTTCATTGGTAAATACTAGCCATACTGCCACAAATCAACAACATTTCCTCTTGAAAATACT